AACTATGCTCTGTATCTTAGTTAAGGCAGTCTGATTAGCAGTCTTAATCTGGTTGATATCTTAGTTCCCTTTTGCTGTTTAACATAATGTATTCAGAAGTGTAGGAATTAAGACATGGAAATCTTTGTTAGGCCCTTTTTCCACCTGTGGTTGTGTTCAGTAAATAATTGCTGCTTAAATTAAGAGTCCCTTCTGAGTTACATATAAAACAGCTACATTGTTTCTGTAATATAAGAATATCTTGAAATAAACAAGAAAGAAGCCATGATTCTTATGATCTGATCCAACATTATCATTTTGTTTCCTTATAAAATTGAAAATTGTCTGTTTTATTCAGCATGTTATTTGTGTATTTCCTGGTGACATAACTCAGAAAATGTAGACTGATAGCAGTTTTATAAGAAGTTATTCATTTGTGTTGAAAATGGTAATTATCTCACTTTTCAATTAGGAAGATGGTGATTGTTTGACATGAATGTTCTCATAAAATTTGTTGAAACACTGTAGATGTTCAAATCTAAAAGCTATACAGTGTACTTCACATATCTGTATTTTGTGAAAATTTAAGCATTTTGTCTTCCAGGAACTGTGAAAGCAAAAAAGGTAAAATCTAGCTGAGAATAAACTTTAGGACACAGGAATATGAGGCCATAAAATTCATTTGATGGTCAGGATCTAGTGTTTTTATTTAAAATTTGTTTTCAGTTTTGATGTCTTGTTATTCCATAAGACGTGACACTAGTTTTAAATTTCTCATTAAAATACTGTACAAGTACTGAAGCAGCAAAAAGTTGTAGCCAAATAGTTATTTTTAAGAAAAAAGAGTTCTACATCTTTTCAGTTTATAATAATAGTGTTTTGCTGATCTCATACAATTAAATATTTCTAGTGAAATATGTTTATAGTACACATTAAAGTTTTAACAATTATTATACCCAGGAGCCCATGAAGTTCCTCTTAAAAACCAAGGCTGGACTGGCATTTTCATCCTTACTTCTCTAAACCTGGAAGCAGGTACAAGACCATGGTGGTTAAACCTGAAAGGAAAATTGCGTAAAAGGTGTTGGCAGTAGACTGTCTTCCTCCCTCATCCTTCCTGGTAAAACTCCTCTTTCTTGCCCCTATTATAATCTGGCAGGGGTCACAAATGGGAAGGTTCCTTGGGCAGTTGCTTGACAATAGCAGTGAATTAGATTTGAGATAAGGGTGAAAATATGGGGAGAAAAAGGTGAGGGAAAAAAAAAGTTCTAGGGATCTCCCTTGGGTCCACATCTGTGAGAGGAACTTTTTCTTTTATGAATATATGAAGGAAATAAATAAGTTCGTTCCTTAGACTTAAGCTTATACTTGTCATTTCAGTTTATTTAAAATAAAATAAAACATGTTTCGTGTTTACAACATGACTTGTAGCTAGAACTTTAATAAAAAAAACCAGATTATACATTTAAGTAATATTTGTTTAATATTAAAAAGTTAGAAAACACAAATAAATAGAAGGAGAATAGTCATCTAGAGGCTTATCAACTAGAAACCACGTTCATAAGATATGGTATATAAACTGTCAGATTTAAAGAGAGGCAGTAAGAAAGATGTTTTTATAAACAGCATCTGAGGTCAGCAAAGAGACTAAAATGTATTCACTCTTATTCCTGTGTTCCTAAAGGTTTATAGAAACTCAGTCACTGTTGATATGAATTTAAATTGATTCTACTGTTCTGGAGAAAAGCTACCAAAAACCATAAATTAAATGTGCGTTCCTCTTTTAAAAAGAAGGAAATAATCAAGACAGCTGTCCAGAAAATTTAGGTGAAAGTATATCCATCACACTATTGTTTTTAAAAAGAGAATAACTAAAACCCTAAATTTTAGTTAGTCAGAATCTGGATGAATAATTTTACTATTAGCCATGGTGGCACACACCTAAAATTCCATCACTCAAGAGGCTGAGACAGGAGGTTCATCAGTTCAAGGCCAGCCTGAGCTATATAGTAAGTTTCAGGTCAGTCTGAGCTATAATCTCAAAATAAAACATCAACTATAAAAATAATAATGTTACTCTGTGTTTACTGGGAGTAAAATCTGATGGCATGTAGAGAGGAGTAGAGAAGGGAAGGATATAGTATAGTAGACATACTAAGTTCGAATTTTTGTAAAAAAAAATTTATCCTAGTTGTGTGTGAATAGAACGTGTCCCAGTATTATATATGTATATATCTAACAACAGATTTCTCTGACAGTGAGATTTCAAGTAATTTTTACTTTCCTCTTGATATGGTCTGTATTACTTGTATTTATAGTAACACATTTATCTTACAATCAGAAAAAAAAATCTAACTTGAACCTTGTTAAAATTAAGAGCCGTAAGGACAGAGAGCTAACTTCCTGTGATATAATGAACAACTTAAATGCTCAGAAATAGCCACTGCTGATTGGAGCCTTGGTTCGATTTGACAAATTGACAGTTTAAAACAAGCTTTTAACTGCATCCTTGTCCAGAGCAAGTAAGAATTTGTATGGCAAATTGAAAGAATAATAATTTATTCATTTGAAATATGATTACTTCAAAGGTGTAGGTCAGGCTAATAAAATGTGATACTTTTATGATAGTCTCAAATCTTTTATAGGGGTAGGATTTGAAAACGAAAAGAACTTTAGAATTCATTTGATTGAGTCTCTTCAACTTATACATGAAGAAACAGAAGACCAAGCAGGGAAGGTGATTTGCTTCAAGTCATTCAACTAGTCATAGGCCATATTGTCAAGGACATATTTTGATTCAGATCCCTGGTGGCTTAACTCCTTCACCTTGTTTCCAGGTAGTTAGCAGTGCCTTAGGAGATGGAGATGGAAGAGCTAACAGATGTGGTGAAGTCAGTCATTGTCATCAAACAATCAGTGTTTTGAGTGCTTAACATGTGCCCAAAAGCAATATGGAGGGTAAAAAGAGGACTATGTAAGCATTTTATTGGAGAGTCAGACATAGGGTAATTTTAGACTGCTACCGGGAGAAGAGTGAGTTTCCCTGTTGCTTTCATATACTCAGATGAATACCATTAAAACTTTAAAAAGTTAAAGAGTATACAAATGCTGTTATGTAAGTGTGTATAAAGTACTATGGGAGTTCAAGAACAGGTGGCTTCACAAAAGAATTATCATTTGAGTCAAGTCATTTGACCTTTAAGGAAAGCATAGAGATAGAAGTATATTCCAGGAAGAAGCAGCAATATGTGTAAAGGCACAAACACTCTTTAAGAGACTCACAAGGATAAAATGATACCCTAGCAGAGGGCCTTTAAAAGTTAGGCAGAAGTTTAGAAATAGCATCAATACTTTCTAAATTACAAAGTTTTCATTAGAATGTTACCTAGTGCTACAGGTAAGATTTGGTCCAGTGTATAAACAGTATAACAAGGATAGGTTTTTCTCTTTCTCTGCTTCTTTAACCCCATTCTCAGGCCTCCTGTGGTTATAAAATAGCTAGTTCCCAATAACTCAAGCAGAAATTCTGGATTAGAGTCATGTTAGTGCCATCTGCCTTACTTGATTAATCCCATCTCAGAAATAATCATCATGGCCAAGAGAAAGGGATCCACTGACTGGAGCTTCCCACGTGGGGAAGGAAGCAAGATAGGCACTTTTGTTTTGGTTGTTTTTTGTTGTTGTTTTGTTTTTGGTGGGACTGGGATTTGAACTCAGGGCTTTACCCTTGCAAACACTCTACTGTTTGAGCCTCAAACCTTAATCCTCCCAATCTCAGCCTCCGAAATAGGTGGGATTACAGGCATGAACCACCAGTACTCAGCACTTTGGAGGCTTTAATGTTTTCCATGATATTGTCTTAAATTTAAATAATCTGGAGGGAGTGAATTCAACTAGGATATATTGTAATAACTTTTGTAAATATCACAATATATCCCCAGTACAACAATAATATAATTAAAAAATAAAATAGAAGTAATGATGTACACTAAAGCTGTTTAAAATTAAGTCTCTAAATCTTCATCTGTCTCATTCTTTTGGCTTTTTTGTGGTTTTTCAAATATTAGGTAAACAGAATGGTTAGGTATTTTGAAATAGAAGTATCTTATTCCCATATTGATTTCTGCTTTTCCAGTATTTTTCCTAAGAAAATTGCTTAAAAATACTGATGGAGTCAAGTACTAAATAGCTGTCTCTCGATGTCTGGACAAGGATGAACAAACTTTGGTTTCCTATGTAAAATTCTTTAATACTTAAGCTAGATTCCTTGAGTTTGTTTTGCTAAGCAAAAGATTATGTATTTTTAACGTTTTCATGTATGTTGTCAAACAACCCTCCAAAAAATGAGAACAAATTTATAAGCCTATTAAACAGTACATGAGGGTTCATTTTTCCTACATCTTCAACAACACAGTCACTTGGTCTATTGATCCACATCATGACCTGTAGGTAGTAAACCTCAAGGTTATTTTATCTTTGAGTTATGACTTCTACAAATAGCCTTCAAAAGTAGGTGCTTTTAATATTTTCCTTTTATTGCTTCCAGACCTATTCAGGTATGGAATGTGCTGTCAAAACAAGACAGTCTCCTTTTTGTCATTACAGGCATGAACATCCTTTAAGGAAATTACTTTACCATTCATTGTCAAATACTTCTCTTCTTGAATATTTCTTATGTGATCTGTCAAGTGAGAACTTCATATGCTTACTATTTCAAGTTGGAATTCAAGGAATAGCTGTAAAATTTCTTATTCCTTTTGCTAAAATGTATATGTGATTTTTTTTTTCTTTTTTGCTATTGAGAATTGAACTCCAGGCCTTGTGCACACTAAACACATGCTCTACCACTATGCTACACGCCCAGTCCTACATGAGACCATTGTTGAAATACCTCTTGAGTTTTGCTGGGCAACTAACACTAATTACAGTGGTAATTGAACAACTTAGATTATAGTAAAGGAGACTATTAATCCAAACAGACATTAATAAAATGTGAGCTTTATTTACTTACTTGCTTGCAGGTGGATTCACCAATGAACTTGAAGCATCCTCATGACTTAGTCATATTAATGAGGCAAGAAACAACCGTTAACTACCTCAAAGAATTGGAGGTAAGGCAACTGGGCCCATGAAATGGAAACTTGGTACATGTCCTGGGAGTTACTACTGTGTTCAAAGAAGAGCTGAAACTTTTTTTTTCCTTTGGTGGTGCTGGGGTTTGAACTCAGGGCCTCACGCTGGCTAGACAGGCATGCTACCCCTTGAGCTATTCTACCAGGCCTTTTTTGTGTTGGGTATTTTCAAGGTGGGAAGAAATGTTTGGTTGAACTGTGATCCTCCCAATCTCTGCTTCCTAAATAGCTAGGATTATAGGCATAATCTGCTGGCACCTGGCAAGCATATTATTTCTTACACCCAATTTTTACGACTTTTGCAAGAATGTTATCTTTAAATCCTGCTTCCCCCTAACCCTCGCCCCCACCCCCACCCCCGCCCTTTAGTCTTGGGGATTGAACTCAGGGCTGCCAGCATGAGGCAAGCACTCTCCTAATGAGCTATGTCCCCAGCCATTTTTACTTTTTATTTTGAGACAGGGTCTCACCAAGTTTTCCAGGCTGGCCTCAAACTTGCAATCCTTCTGCCCCAGCCTCCCAACTAGATGGGATCACAGGTGTCACCACTGTGATTATGCTTTTTAAGGAAGAAAATTACTTTATCAAAATTATCTTTCCAGCAATAGTAAGAAAAATAGACTTTTCTTCTATAGAGATATAACTGACTCTTGACTCACTCATCCTTGACCAAAGTATCTGTACTTTTTTCCATCAAATATTAAGAGAATATAATCTCTGATGATATTCTTAGAAGAGTTTGGGTAAAATATGACAAAGAAGAAAGGTTTTAATAACCTAAAAATTGTAATTTTCAGCCAGATGCTGATGGCTCACATCTGAAATCCTAGCTACTTGCAAGGTTGAGATTGATAGGATTGCAGATTAAGGATTGCAGATAGGATTGCAGGCAAAAAGGTTTTCAAGATTCCATCTCAACAGAAAAAAGCTGGGTGTAGTTGCCTGCTACAAAGCATAAATAGAAAGATCACATTCCAGGCCAACCTAGACATAAAACGAAACCTTACCTCCAAAATAACTAGAGCAAAAGGGGCTGGAGATGTGGCTCAAGCTGTGCAGTACATGCCTAGCCTTGAGTTCAAATCCTAGTACCATCCCAAAACAATTGTAGTTTTCATTCATTTCCAAGTAGTTAAAAACTAGGTATTGCCATGGTGTGTTCTCATGGTTGAGGTGAAAAGCCTTAATCACTTTGTACCTTGAAAGCTTGAAATTGTAAGTGCAATAAAATCTGACTTTTAAGAAACAAATCAAGCATTAGTTTTGCCTTTATCATTGATTTCTGTAAACTGTTTTTGCTTAATAAATTATTAGATTTTTCCCATAAAATCTCTCCTTAAAAGTTACAATGCAAATTGAATCCAAATTTTAAGGAAACCAAAAGTTGTAGAAAAATAAACCAAATTGCCAAATGAGAGTTAGAAAACTGTGAATAAATAGGAATAATAAGAGTAGAATGAAAAGGAATAGAATCAGAGTGCTTTAGAGCTGGAATAAATCATCAATATCATCATTTTGGGAACAAGGAAACAGTTAGACCTAAAGATAGCTAACTGTTTGAGTTCACAAAGCAAGATATGACAGAACCAGAGGAAAAAGCGAATTTCTTAACTTAAAAGCCAGCATACCTGTTAAACCACATCAGTAATTCATTTTCTAGTTACACGAAAGTTCTAACTTCCACTTATATGAATTCAGGCTGGTACGTTTATTAATATAGTATGTCTACAAATAGCTAAAAATACGTATTTTTTAATTTCTGTGAATTAAGAGGGAATAGCTTTTACCACATGTTACCAGCTTTGTATAGGTACAGTAGTATTTTTAGAATATTAAAATTATGTTTAGAATATTACTATAGTAATATTATATATATAATAGTTTCTGACCTTCATCCTACTAGTTTTATCATTTATAAATTTGGAAATGTTGGTTTCTTAAATTCACACTAGGAATAAGACAATAGGAATATTTATAGGGTTTCATGTTTGGAAACATCTGTTTTCATTTAAACATAGTATTCAAAAAGATGCAGTGGTTCAGAAAATAGTATATATGTTTATTGCTATCTCTTAGTAACATAGTACTAAGTAACAGAAGAAGATTTAAATTAGAGGATATGTAGGGGAATGTGCCATTCACTAATGAAAAATTTTGATTCTACCAATTTTTAGTTTTTTTTAAATTTAGTGTAGAAGTTTATTCTTCTCTTATTATTTCATATTCACAGGAATGACAGGTAAAATTTTAAAAATTACCAAAATTAAACATAGCCATGGTTAAAAATAATATAAGCATCTCTATGAAGCAGACATGAGTAGAAACTAAATTAGGAATGTGGCTGATGCTATAGACAGACCTGCTGAACTCCAGGGCCAGAAACAAGCTATGGTATCTGATATTTCAGGTTTGTGGAGTTAAAGAGACTGACTGTATTCCAAGTAAGATGAAAGAACAGAACCAGACTTACTGCTTAAAAACTAGGGTGGAACCATTCTGCTCATACAAAGAGTCTGGGAAGGAAAATAGCAGAAAGACAAAGAAAAACCTGATGATTATAAAAGGAACCAAACCATCCAGTAGTTCAGTAATTGCATACTCAATATCATTTCAGGTAGAATATTACTTTGGGATAAATTTTGCAGTCTGATTCTAGACTTGGAAACTGGGTAGAACCTGGCAGCAGTTACAAAACTACTAGACATAGGGAATGGCTAAAAAGAAAGAGAGAGTGAAGGAATACCAGAGGGATAAATTTTTTTGTGTGTGGAAATAGAGAAGACTGAAGGAGGTGCAAGACTTGGGAGGAGTTTGGCTTTGATTCGTTACGTTTGAGATGCCTATTAGATATCTAGCTATAGATATCAATGAGGGAATTGGTTCTTCAGGTGTGGACTCAAGGGGAAAGGTCTGCACTGAACATGTAACTTGTTAGTCATTGACAGACTTAAAGCAGTGAGACTAGATAAAACAGCGATCACTAGAGCACTGGACACCCCAAGACAAGGGAAGGATAGCCTTAAAGTTCTAAGAGGAAGTCAAACTAGAAGTTTCTGTTCTTTTAAACTGTCATTAAAGATTGAGGACAAAGTAAATATGTTTTCTGATATACAAAGATAGTTTGTTAACCATAGACACTCACTTGAACAAAAACATTGAGAATGTACTTCTGTAAGAAAAAAATAAACCTAGGGGAAGGAAGTACATAAGATGCATAATTGTGAATTTAAAACCCTGAAAAGAAAGTTGCTAAAATTAATTAATTAATTAATTAATTAGTTCTAAAAAGTAATACTAGATAAAATTAACAATACACAGTATGGCTGGGGCATGATCCATGATTAAAGCATGTTAGATTGTTTTGTCATATTCAGGACAAGATAAAAATAGATAAATAAATTTTAATCCTTTTAGAAAATTTATTGGCCAAAGTATTAAAAACCATCTTTTAAGTAGTTGCCAAAAAATTTAAGTCTAATCAAACTATAATATAAATTGTTTTTCATTATGATTGGTTTCCTTTGTCTTCCTGTGTCTTTTTATTTATTTAAAAGATTTTTTTGTACTGGAGGCGTGGCTCTAATGGTAGAGTGCCTGCTTTCCAACCATGAAGCCCTGAGTTCAAACCTCAGTCCTAATAAAAAATGAAGGTTATTCTGAGAAGAGGTCTTCATCAGACTGTCAAAGAAATCTGTGACGCAAAAAAAGATTTTTACCCTGAATTCTGCCGTCAATATTCAAGAAATATTCAAGGACCAAGGAACATGTTAAATGAACCTTGGAGACATAGTCAGCAAATTCCTGTAGAACAACAAACTTTACAGGACAAGCCACCTAATCTCTTTAACATATTAATTGCAAGTGGGGAGAGAGAAAATAGAGGGGTAACCAAAGGTGTAAATAGAGTTAGACAAATCAAGCAATTGTAGTACTAATGGATTTCATTGGATTCAGAGTCAAGCAAGCTATTTTAATGTTTTTATTTTGTTTTGTTTTGTTTTGTTTTGGTGGCAGTGGGGTTTACTATGTTTGAACTCAGGGCTTCATGCTTGCTAGATAGGCACTCTTCCACTTGAGCTATGACCTTAATCTCCAAACTATTTTAAAAAGAGTAAAGAAATAATTTGGAAGTTGAACATGGACTAGATTCGATAGTAAGAAATTGCTATTTTTACATGTGACAATGATGTAGTTTTATTTATTTTTATTTATTTATTTTTGGTGGCACTGGGGTCTGAACTCAGGGCCTCATGCTTGCTAGGCAAATACTTATATTTGAGCTACTCCGCCAACCCTTTTTTGTGATAAACTTTTTTAAGCTAGAGTCTCTTGAATTATTTACCAGGGTTGGCTTCAAACCCCAGTCCTCCTATCTCTGCCTCCTAAGTAGCTAGGATTATAGGCATGAGCCACGAGTGCCTGGCAGTAGTTTATTTTTCTTTTAAATTCTTGTCTTTCAGAAACATACTTTTCTTTCATATTTACTAATAAAAACTTAATCAAAATAAAATGTAGGGGCAAGCACTACAATAATAGAAATTTAAAGCAACAATACAGAAGGAGGAACATAGAAAGTGTTATCAAACATGCCAGGCAGGAAGAGCAAAAAAATACAAAGATGAACAGTGAGCATAAAACCTAAAATAACACAGTTGAAGTGAATCCAAGTAGAGCACCAATCACAGTAAATACTCACTAAAACTCAGATTGTCAAGACTGAATTCTTACTCAAGTCCTGCTGAATGGTACAACTAAGAGATAGACAACAAAAATCTAGCCTCAGAAATCTTAGTGCTGTTCTCCCTAAGGAAGGTAGAAGTTCAAGGAGGGATAACCAAACAATGTAAACCTGCTCTAAGTTTCAACTGAGAAGTTAGGTCTTTATTCACATTCCCTCAACCAGTGAAAATCATATGGCCAAGCTTGAAGTCAGAAGGGCCAGGTAGCATACCTATTGGAAAAGGATTGGGTGGGAAGGAGTCATTGGAAATAGATAGAAGATCTGTCCCCTATAGTGATAAACCAAAAATCTTAATAAAATTAAGATTTAATTGTGGCTTAAGACATTAAAGTCATGCTAAATGACCATTTGGGGCCCTGTCAGGGCTCTATATCATGTCACAGATATGTAAGCCAGGTCAACTGCAACCAGTGTATCGCCATTCTCAATAGCTGGAGTGAAACACACACCAACTCTCAAAAAGCTTCCCTATGAAAGAACCACATGGAATTTCTTATGTTAAATTGAGCAAAGCAAGTCATATTGCCTAAGCCTGAGTCCAACAAAACAGTGATGCATAATTATTTTTAAAAGGATATTAGTGAATAGAAATAAATTATCACATTAACATGGTCTCCCACAGTAACTATAACAAGATAATATTTCATACCCATCAGAGTAGCATACATTTAAAGTATTAGAAAGCCAAATGTTTACAAGATTGTAGGGATATGGGTTTTGTGGTCTGCTGGTGAAATTCTAATTGTGATAGCCACTATGAAGAATAGATTGATAATGTCTAAATAAAATTGAAATGTATATCCTATGTAAGCACATATTTCTACCCCTGCTAGAACTTTTGTACTTGTATAAGGAGATATTTATAAAATTTTATCACATTTTAGTAGAAAAAAAAAATTTTTAAGCAACACAAATGTTTATAAGAAAATGGACAGATTTTTATACATACATTATACATTAACATGAAAAATTTAGAGCAATAATGACTGATGTAGATAAATCTCAAGAACAATACTGAGCTGAAAAGGAAGTTGTCAAGTAATATATCAGTGTAATACCATTTATATAAAATTTTAAAAATCATGGATTGTAGATACATATTACTAAAGTAATACTTTCAGGGAGTAATAGAATACCAGTTCTGTGTATGGACACTTTTAGAGAGACTTATGTATGCTAACCAAGATTAACCAAGGGCATTTTCAGAATTCTCATCTGCCTTTATAGAGAATTCTATGACTTCTTCATTTCTCATTAAATTCTCCTTTCTCTTTTTTTTTTTTTAAACTGAACAAGGAGTTATTTAATTCTTCAGTCTCCTGTACTTTGCAGAAAAGAAGTGCCAGTTTCACTGAAGGATGACCTTTTTGGTTTGTTTTCTCTTGTTTTGGTGGTACTGGGAATTGAAACAGGGCCTCACACTTGCTAGGCAAGCACTCTACTAGTTGAGCCACACCTCCAGTCTTTTATGCTTTAGTTATTTTTGATAGGGTCTCTGCTTTTTTTTTTTTTTCATTTTTCTTTTATTATTCATATGTGCATACAAGGCTTGGTTCATTTCTCCCCCCTGCCCCCTCCCCCTCCCTTACCACCCACTCCACCCCCTCCCGCACCCCCCACTCAATACCCAGCAGAAACTATTTTGCCCTTATCTCTAATTTTGTTGTAGAGAGAGTATAAGCAATAATAGGAAGGAACAAGGGTTTTGCTGGTTGAGATAAGGATAGCTATACAGGGCATTGACTCACATTGATTTCTGTGCGTGGGTGTTACCTTCTAGGTTAATTCTTTTTGATCTAACCTTTTCTCTAGTTCCTGGTCCCCTTTTCCTATTGGCCTCAGTTGCCTTAAGGTATCTGCTTTAGTTTCTCTGCATTAAGGGCAACAAATGCTAGCTAGTTTTTTAGGTGTCTTACCTATCCTCACCCCTCCCTTGTGTGCTTTCGCTTTTATCATGTGCTCATAGTCCAATCCCCTTGTTGTGTTTGCCCTTGATCTAATGTCCACATATGAGGGAGAACATACGATTTTTGGTCTTTTGGGCCAGGCTAACCTCACTCAGAATGATGTTCTCCAATTCCATCCATTTACCAGTGAATGATAACATTTCGTTCTTCTTCATGGCTGCATAAAATTCCATTGTGTATAGATACCACATTTTCTTAATCCATTCTTCAGTGGTGGGGCATCTTGGCTGTTTCCATAACTTGGCTATTGTGAATAGTGCCGCAATAAACATGGATGTGCAGGTTCTCCTTTCTCTTCAATGGTACCTAGGCTGAAATATTAGAAGAATCCATTCTGTTTATTTTTTTTCTCAACAGAAGCAACTAGTCGCTCAAAAAATTCACATAGAGGAGAATGAGGACAGAGACACTGGACTGGAACAGAGGCATAATAAAGAAGATCCAGACTGCATCAAAGCTAAGGTGCCCTTAGGGGACCTGGATTTGTATGATGGCACATACATAACTTTGGAGAGCAAAGACATCAGGTAAGTGATTCTCTTTCCAGAAGTAAAACGTTTTCCAAATGTACCTTTCTCAAATCAGTGAGAAATGAGTTCTGTAATAAGAGTAAGCTTCAGTCAGATGAGTTTATTGAAATTTGGAAGTTCAAAATACATGTAGAATTCTTGCAATTTAATTAAAAGTAGTAATACTACAGTGGAAAATTGAACGATTTATAGTAAAAAAAATGCTAAAATGCAAGTGGCCGATAAACATATAGAAAAGTACTTCTCAGAAATGATCAAATAAGTATTTTAAACTAAAACATTTAGTTTTCATCTATCACATTAGAAAAAGAAGTATTTAAAACTCAATAACTGGTAAAAATGTAGAGAAGTGTTCAGTGAAAGTATAAATTGGTTTAACCTTTCTGGAAAGAATTTAACAGTTCTACTGTATTTATTTTTTGAAAATCTATTATAACATTCTGTGACTTACTCCCATTTTTTCTCTAATTCTTGACTTTTCCCTTTGCTTTGAATTTCCCAGATATTTTGCTCCTGTGAAAAGTATGAGTGTTGATTAATATTGGTTGTAAAGTGGAGGTGCCATGAGAATATGGGGGACATTTGACATTTCTTAAAATACTGTTTGTCAGCATCTTTAACTCATTCATTGCATCTCACTTCTTGATTTTAGCCCTGAAGATTACATAGACACAGAATCTCCTGTCCCTCCAGACCCTGAGCAACCTGATTGTACTCAAATTCTAGAACTTCCATATAGCATACATGCTTTTCAGCACTTGCGAGTAAGTAGATAACTTCAGGGTATTTTCTTTCTTTCTTCCTTTGTTTTGTTTATTGCTTATAAAAACTTTTTTTCAGCCAGGCATGATGTCTCACACCTATAATCCTAACTACTTAGGAGACTAAGATTGGGAGAATAAGGCTAGCTAAGCAAAAAAAGTTCATGAGACCCCATCTCAACCTAAAAAAGCTAGGTATGCTCATATGTGCCTGCCATCCCAGCAAGGGGGAAAACATAAATAGGAGAATCTTGGTCCAAACTTGGCCCAGACATAAATGCTAGAACTTGTTCGAAAAATACCTGGGGTATAGCTCAAGTGGTAGAGAGCCTTCCTAGCAAATGCAAGGCCCTGGGTTAAAAAAAAAAGGAAAGAAACCTTTTTTTCCCTTTCACTTGAGCTATTTTTCTTCTCTCCTCCCAAACAGCTTTTTAATTACACAAACATATCCTGCCTTAAAATTCCTTCAAGGTTTTTGTTTTGGTGGCACTGGGTTTGAACTCAGGACCTTATGCTTGCTAGGCAAGTGCTCTATCACCTGAGCCATGTCCCAGTCCATTTAAAATTCCTTCAAAATAAAAGCTATAGATGCTGAGTTCCTTTTACTATGTTTTTCAACTTTTTTTTTTCTCCTTTTCTTTAGGGTGTACAAGAGAGAGTTAATCTTTCTGCACCTCTGTTGCCTAAAGAAGATCCAGTCTTCACATATTTATCTAAACGGTTAGGAAGGAGCATCGATGACATAGGTCACCTCATTCATGAAGGCCTGCAGAAGGTAAGTCATCAGTGCCTTGAAGAGCCAGGAGGCTCTGTGTAAGCAAGAGATACTTTCAGAAAATGCTCAACTCATCTAACTTGTGTTTGTCTAGAGGATGATCTAAAATTATGATTACACTGATATAAACTATTTCAAAAGTAGGGAAAAACATGGATAGACTAGTTTCCTTTACCAGGAAGAGATACTGAAAACTAATAAACCAATATAAGCAACAGGACTTTGTAAGTACATTGAGTGTGGAAGAAAATTTAACACATAATACATAGATTATCAGAAAAAGAATCAGCATCAGCAATAAAATCTTCTGTAAGGTTTGAACTCAGGGCCTCACACTTCTTGCTAGGCAGGCACTCTTATGGCTTGAGCTGCTCTGCCAGCCTTTTTTTGGTGATATGTTTTTTTGAGATAGGGTGTCAAAAACTATTTGGTCAGGGTTGACTTTGAACTACAATCCTCCTGATCTCTGTCTCCTAAGTAGCTAGGATTACAGATGTGAGCCACCAGCATCCAGCAAGAACATCTACTTTTAAAAAATAAAATAGGGAGCTGGGCTTGGTGGCATCCACTTGTAGACCCAGCTACTCAGGCAGTAGGATCACTGAAACCCATGAGTTTGAGACCAGCCTTGTTTAGCATAGGGAGATCCCATCTGAAAAACAAAACCAAAATCGGGAATTACATAACACGACCCAAGAATTTAAATGTATCATTTGGGATAGCATGAGAATTTAGAAAATAGGTTTTTACTCTTCTTCATACCTAAGTAGTATCATAAAATGCAGGTTAGTTTCTAAGCAGTGCTAATTATAGTGATATTAAATAAACTGTATAAAATTCTAACATTTATATATCATTTATTCAAATACATAGCTCTGTATATCAAACGACGAGTTTTTGTATACAAGTAAAATAGTTTAACCTTCAAATGCATGATATGATTATTACTTTTGTAGCTAAGTTGCCATCTTCATCTTGTCTTTCTGAAGGTTATATAATAAATACATGTATATTCCCAGAACTTAATGAGTAATCAGGGAAAACTGGTCCAAGATCTTGCAGTATCCTTCAGAGAATGGTTGGTTGAGATGTAGACCATAGCGATGAGTGTTCTATAGGAAATTAAAATAGAGAATAACTGTATAATTACTTTTTTTTTGGTGGTACTAGGGTTTGAACTCAGGACCTCATGCTTGCTAGGCAGCCACTCTGTCACTTGAGACATTCTGCCAGCCCCTGCATAGCTACTTTAGATTGAGCAGTTGGAGTTATCCTCTCTAGAAATGTGAATTTTAAGCTGACATCTGAAAAATAAGAAGGAATAAGAAAAAAACAAATTTTTAGTTGGAGAGAACATTCTAGACCAAGGCAAGAGCCCTGAGATGTACTTTAGCCTGAGTGGTTATTAGTCCACTAAAGCTGTCAAAGACAAATGCCACTCTGATCTTACCCTACTTCATAACACTTAAACACCAAGCGTGTGGGGGATTTCCCCTCATACTTATGAATTCATCAACTCTTCAGAAACCAACCGGGGGGGGGGGGTCCTACAGTTCAATTCTTTTTTTTTTAGAGAAATCATTTCATCTCTCTTTATATGATGTCCACAAGGTATTGGACTAGTCTTTGTTTGGTCTCCAGCACTTTAGGTGAAGCAGAACTGAGCCTTCAGGAACATGTGACTGTTATCTCACAAAGCTAGTAGAAGCTACTGTTCTAAGTTCAAAGGCATACATCAGATCATGGGGATATCCCCAGATGTCTTAGGACACAGCTCCAGCTCTTCCAGAGGAATGAACAAGAGGACCTGGTACCAAAATGGTCTAGTGAGAGAAAGTAGAAAAGGTGAAGGACAAGGATCTTCTTCCTTTCTTCTACTACCTCAGGGCAAAGTCACTTACCCCCAGTAAAGGGCCCAGAGTAGGTGGTAACTACTTGAACTCCATCAGGAATGAGCCAGTTCGCTCCAGGGCTGGTCACGTGGCAGTGTCAGGGAGTAGAATGCTAGTCATAGAATGGAGACAGACTGTTCCAAATCCTATGTTGCCTGTTTCCCAGCCTTTAATAGGTCCTCATGATTGGCCTTCTCCAGGTTTTCATAATCTATGACAACCTTGTTCATATCCTTCAGAGGATGGTTAGTTGAGTGAGAAGCCCAAGACTCAAAATCCACATTGTAGTTCAACTGTAACTCCTAGTACTATGCTTGTGCCAATAGCATCTTCCCCCAGCTTCTGCAGCAGGAAAGATTCTGCCACAGTCTTAAAGTTGGGGCCTGACAGCATCACATAGGTCCCTTCCTGTGGCTCTTGCTGCTCCCCCATTTGTTTCCAGGCTTTGAGAACCTTCTGCTTCATATTCTAGTCATAAGCATCAGGCATGGCAGGGACATGAACGCCAAACCTTTCATTATTGGGCCCTTTGAGAGGATTCTGACCTCGGAAGCCAGGTAGATTGAGGCGATGACAGATTAGCATAATATCTCCCAACATCAAACTTGTGGTTGAGGCCCTCCAGCCAAATTGGTGACCACAAAGGTGTCCTCAGCCACAAGCTGGAAAAATCCTCATAAAGAATGTCAGTTTCCAGAATGAGGACCTTTTATACATGTGGAACCTATCCTTCATCATTATATAGTCTCTGCCATTCAGGAGTTTAAACACCATTCAACTAGCATGACCTGGCACTGTTCTCCATGGTTCCACTACCCCCTCACAATGATCCTGTTCTTCTTTGCTCTGCTCAGTGGAGTTGTGCAGCTCAGCTAAGTCTGGTCCACATAGTTCAACAATTCATGGTTAAAAGACTCAGTCTCATAAGACAGTCATTTCAGATACCAATTGCAAGTCAAAACCACTGTACTTCTGAGCAAGCAGCTATCATGTCAATGATTCCTCCTCTGGTTTAATCATTTGTTAGAACTCAACTCCCAGAACTCAGGAAATCAATTTACTTGACATTATTAGTTTATTATAAAGATTACAATTCAGAAATAGACAAATGGAAAAGATGCAGAAGGCAAGGTATGGGGAGAAGGTGCATAGAGCTTCCATGTCACCTCTGGCCACAGCAATTCCATGTGTTTACTAGCCTAGAAGCTGTCTAAGCTCCATCATTTAGAGGCTTTTATGGAGTTTTCAGTATGTACACCTGATTGATTAAATCATTGGCCAGCAAAGATTAGCTCAGTTTCCAGCTCCTCTTCTCTCTTTGTAGGTTGTTTGGGCAATAGGGTTAAAAGTTTCAACTCTCTGTAAACAGGCCAAGGTTTTTCTTGGACCAGCATCTGTCCTGAAGTCATGGGGAGGTTTTCAGCCACCAGTCATCTCACTAGCATACAAAAAACACTCTTACTGCACCTGTTATTCCATAGGGATTAGGAGTTCTGTGTTAGCAATCTGTGACAAAAACTAGATACGTATTTATCCAGCCAGATTTGATGGCACAGCCTGTAATCCCAGCACACAGGAAGCTGAAGCAGGAGATTATGAGTTGAACAACTGTCTGAGCTACATAGTAAGACTCTATCTCAAAAAGTAAAATAAGGAAGCTGAAGCAGGAGATTATGAGTTGAACAACTGTCTGAGCTACATAGTAAGACTGTATCTCAAAAAGTAAAATAAGTATATATACATTAATTTATTTGCTTACCCATACTACAGACACAAACTGAGGGGCTTAAACAACAGAAATGTATTTCTTACAGTACTGGAGGCTGGAAAGTCTAAGATCAAGATGTCCTGTATTGGTTCCTACTGATGACTCTTTTCCTGGCTTGCAGACAGCTGCATTCTTACTGTGTCTTCACATGCCTCTTTTCTGTGTGCATGCATGAAAACAGTGAGATACCTGTGTCTCTTCTTACAAGGGCACCTGCGCTATCAAATTTGGATCCTAATCTTCTGGCCTCATTTAACCTTTATCCCTCCTCATAGGCCCTTGTAGAGCTTCAATATATCCACTGGGAGTGAGGAAGACACAGATATTCAGTCCATAGCTGGTATCATGTAATCAAATTTAGGCCAGTATGGTTGTAGTCTGGTGAACAAGAAGGAGGATAGTAGGGAGTGAATCCAGAGAAGCTGGCCAATGCCCAATTATGTAGAACTCTGAAATCCATAGTTAAGGACTTTCATAGTTGATCTGCTCCTAGTACTAAAATATTCAGTTGCATCACTCAAAAATCACAGACACTTTCCTTGATGGTAGAATACTTACAGGTGAAGAATCTAACATTTTAAATAGCCATTTTAACTGTATTTTACTACACTTAAATGATACCTATAATAACTATTTTTAAAATAAAATAATTGGCTCTATAAAATTTTAGGCTATAAAAAAATCTATAAAAGAAAATAAAAATTATAATTTTTCAAAATGTCTCTGTAATACATTCTTTTGGATTTTGATTTTTACACATCTGTATAGTTAAAACTTTATTCCCATAAGGTGCTTTTTTTTTTTTTTTCCCTGTACTGGGGCTTGAACTCAGGACCTACACCTTGAGCTATTCCACCAGCCCTTTTTTGTAAAGGGTTGTTTCCAGATAGGGTCTCGCAAACTATTTACTAGGGCTGGCTTCAAACCACAATCCTCCTGACCTCTGCCTCCTGAGTAGCAAAGATTACAAGCTGAGCTACCGGTGCGTGGCAGGGATGCAATTTGAGGCTATAGTGTGAAACAACTGTGTAGTATACCATCTACTTCTTTCATTAGCGAACATTATGTAGAAAGATGGTTACTGTTTCTGTGGTACCACAGTTGTCTCAGTAGATGTAAGCTCCATAAGATCACAGACAATGTCTGATGTTACTCATCATCATATCTTCTACAATCAGTGACGTACCTTCCACATAGTAAGCCTCCCATACAACACTGTTAAAAGAATTAGTGCATTCTCAAAGGAGCATGTCAGTTGGAGATAAGACTCATGTGAGTTAAAGTCTCAGATTCATATCTTACTGATCATATGACTTTAACCAAATTACTTATTCTACCTG